TGACGAGCACGACGGGAGACAGGCGCAACAGCTCGAGACCGAAAACATGGTTGGGATTAACTGCCGTGAAGTGTTTGGCCTCGTAGGTCTTGCGAACGAAAGCCTGTTCAGGCCGAGTATCGGTTCTGGTGCTCCGGCTGGCCTGCGGGCCTTCTGACTTCATGCGGGTTGCGGATCGGGACCTGGCAGCCCATGGAGGTGGCGGACGAACGCGCAGCGGTGGCGGGCCTTCCAGACGTTCGAGTCGAGGATAAACGCCTGGCACTCCATGGAAGCTGAGGACAACAGAATCCATTGCTGCACGAGTCTTCCAGCCCCATTCAGGTCCAGGCAGGACGCAGCTGGACTGGTGCGGAGTTGTCTATGCTGGCCACGACGGGCTACTCTAGAGTGTGGCCTCGTGGCTGTCGTGGCGACCTGGAGACATGGTAACATCGAACTCTTTACACACTGAGGGCGAGTAAACTGGTCGGGCAGGCCATACCGTAGGCGGAGGGATCAGTGTCCGGTGTCGCATGCAGCCGAAGTGGCTGCAGGGGGATTGGCGAACGAGTATCATGGCCAGCAGTTCCGACATCGCCCAGCTGTGTTGCTCGATGCATGTGCCAGTTTTTTTGCTGCGGTCTGTTTCTGCATCGGGTGAGGCCGCGGTGCCCTGGACAACCGGCAACATGGTCTCAGACGCTCTCCAGAAGGATCTTGGCGATCTCACTGGCTGCCCAAAGGCGATTCCTATATCGCAGGGCTGCCACGGGGCTGCGCTCGTTGGGATATTCTGGGCCGCCCGGTAGGGTGCGATACACCAAATCGATGTGCAGGCGCACGGCGTTGGGACCGCCTTCAGCCAGCAGAGCTGCCAATGTCAGGACATGGCGTGTCATGTCGTCCAGCGACGAGATGTTCCGCTTGGGCCAGAGCAGCTCGAAGAAGTTGTACTCGAAGGCTCTGCGCATATGTTCTGCTGGGACGTTATCGCTGATGATCCGGTGCATGATAGCTTCCGTAGGCATCTCGGTTTCTATGGGATCCACATCCGGATCTTCGCAGAGGTCTGAGTAAGTCGCATTCTCCACATAGGCGTCGCACCAGGCCTGGAACATGTGCACGGACAGGAACTCTTGCAGATATCGGAAAGAGCGTACGGCCTGTCGGGTGCACAGGACGGGGCATCGCACGGATTCATGGTTGCTCGTGGAGGCAAAACTACAGCACCGCGCTCGATCGTGCCTGGCTTTCGTTGGGGTCCTCGTTCTCTTTGGAGCTGGCAAGAACGTCGCGCAACGACATGGCTGCTTTCCGCCTGTACTTGGGTCCGGTAATGGGAGGTCTTCTAGTATACTTCGAAGTGTCCGGTTCGAGCCCACAGCTGCCAGAAGAGTGTGCATGCTACATGACTGATGCTCGTGTGGTGCGGTGGTCGCTCGGTTTTGCTCCTGCGAAGACGGTGAAGCTGCTGTGCCCTATGGAATGCTGACGCCGCTAACTAGATGGTCTTTAGGATAATGTCTGCGATCTGACTGGCCGTCCAGAGACGCTCCCGGTACCGTAGTCGTCCTATAGCGGGGTCGGACCCCTCTGGCTGGTCCGCACTACTGGCCCCGGTGCTGTACAGTAGGTCGATGTACAGGCACGCTTTGCGCTGGCCTCCTTCTGCCATCACGCTTTTGAAAATTGTCACGAGACGGGTCAGATCGGTGTGTGCTGCTAAGTCTCGTCTCGGCCACAGTAGTCGGTAGATGCAGTAGTCGAAGCCTTCCGGTGTCTTGTCCACTTCGGATATGCCGGGCAGCAGTTGACGCACGGTTTCCTCCGATGGGCACTGGTTTTGCTCCGGCGCGATCTCCGAGGCGCTGGGAACGTCCGCATAGGTCCAGTTGCTCACATTGGCGCTGCACCATGGTCGGAAGAGGTGTGCACCTAGGACTTCTCGTACTTTCTGGCAGGCATCCGTTGCCTGGCAGACAGGCATGCTGTTCCATGTAGACATGGATAACGGGATGAATCGTGTCCGCGCCTCGGTGTCTTCGGTGCTCTGCTCCACATCTTTGTGGTCTTTCCTGTACGACATGGCAGCTGCAGGCTTGCTGGACTATGCCAGGTCGCCGGTGGTGGTCGTCCTGGGTCCGGGCGGCTTACGCTAGTCGAATCTCTGTTTGGCTCGGGCCGACGTCGAATCCGAACTTGGCTCTGGCGCTCCGTAGGTATGTTCACTGCTTGAAGCATCGGGGTCTGTGCACTTTTTGCCTGCCTTCTCGCGGCAGCCGTCGCTGCTCTGGTCTGTTAGCCGAGCTATACTCTAGGCGCGGTTCACTACGCTCGCCACGATCCGATCCCGTCCCAGACGTGCTCCAGGCGTTTCGCGTACGAGTACACGGGGAGTGGGGCGTCCGTGTGAAAATGCTCTCCGCACATGGCGTGCTGCAGCGCATAGAAGTTGAACTGCATGCACTCCTTGCCGCCGCGCTGGTACAAGGTGCTGCCCGCACTGCGTTGGACCGTGAAGGCCTCGGCCGTTTGCAAGGCCGCCGCCTGCCAGAGCTCCCGGAAGGACGGGTAGTGGAACCACGCCAAGTGCTCGGAGTTCCACCCCATGTCTTTCATCACCCATGCAAAGGTCAGCTCTCCGGGAACGATTCTCTCCGTGCCGCTCATGCTGCGAAGCCAGCGCCGGAGGCTTTTCTCGGATGGACAGGGGTGCTCTTGTACGAACCTGTGGAGAATCTTCTCCTCTCTGAGCACTTCACGTCGCACCAGCGGATTGCACTTGCGCCAGGGATCGGCCACCGCCCAGGGACCCGTCGTGATGGGCTGTCGCGGAGACTGCGGCGGGATGGGGTTCCCGAAGTCCTCTTCGTCGCTGCTGCTTTGAAGGAGGTCCCACTTGGAGTAGTCGATGCCCGACATGGAAGGCGACGGGATCCGAGTGGAGCCTGCGCGTGCTTTCTTGATTGACGCTGAAGCGGCTGCGACATGCACTGTACTCGACAACAGACACAGATGGATGCAGTCGACTTCGGATTTGCTCCTGCAGCCATCACCTGGAACGCATAGTCTATCTTCCTTTTCGTCTGTCGCGTGGAATGCTGTCGCACGGGGTCGCTTCGGACTCGCTTCCCCTCCGGCAACTGTCTGTCTATGGGTCGAACCCGTCATTGACGACGTCTTGCATTTGAAGGACGGTGTTCAGACCTCTGTAAGTGAAAAAGACGACTACGTTTACTAGCGTGGGCCGGAATGTCCTTCGGAAGGCGGCAGGCCTGGCCGAGTAGAAGAAGTGACTGTCCGATTCTTCCAGCAGGTCGCTCAAAGCCGCGCCCGCGTTCCTTGTCTCTATCGGCCACGCGTTCATCACCAGCACCGCTTCGGCGGGTGAGAACCCTCCGAGCCCGAAGTCGTCCAACCAATAGAGCAGATCCTCGACGGGACCCAAGGTCTCCAGTGGGTCCGAGGGATCTGGCGGAGTCCAGCCCTTCGTGCATCTGATGCTCACGGGGAGATCGAAGCCGGGGAAACGCAGTCGCATGGTCCCCAAGGGTTCCAGGACCCTGCGTAGCCTGGCCACATCTGCCAGAACGGCTCGGGCCCACGCCAGTCTTCTCATGTTCGAGGACCTGCTGACTTGCAGCAGAAGGAGGACCTCCGCTGGCGTCAGCATCCGCCGTAGCAGCACGCCGCACTCCGCTTCCAGAAAGTACAGGAGAATGGCCATGGTGTGCGCTCCGGACTAAACGCTCCTGATGATCCTATGGCTGCAGCTGCTTCTGTATGATGCTCAGATGCCGGTTGCGACCACGATTCTTGTTTCTGCCAGCGCGGACGGCGATGTTGAAGTCTGCTACCTCTCCACTTTCCCACGGTCCTATCTCACAGTCTACGAATCTGTACGGACAGCTGCCCTGTGACGGGTTCTGCCGTGGTCGGCTGGGATGTTATCAGGATGATGGGCGCTGCGTGTACTCGAATGTCGCACAGCGTCTGTTGCGCTGACGACGTCGCGGCTGGGCCCGGCACCGTCGGATTTCCGACGCCGGTCGAGGTGTGTGGGTCTGCTGGCTCCGCTTCTACTCGCCATTCGTAGATAAACTCATACCAGAGTCGACAAGGGAAACGATGCCGGAGGCAGCGGCGCTGCATGCTGGTTTGCCAGTCCTGCAGTGCTTCGGGCCCCCAGCGACGAGACAGGGCGCTTTGCACGAATTCTGCTAGCTCGAGATTCAGTTGCGTCTCGCCTGGGTACGGTCTCTTGTGCATGATCGTGCTGGTGCCTGCAATCCGGCTTTAAGGACTGCACTGAGCGGCTGACCGGTGTCGAGAGTCGTTTCTGCGGCATCCGTCGTGCCGTTGTATTCGGTGCCGTTATGACGGCCTTCCAACGTCCATGGTAGCGGCGACTCTGTATCTGGGCGTGTCGTTCGCGTGGAGAGTAGGTCGCTGCTGCCTTGCATTCAGCTATCGTAGCATTAATTACACGGCGTGAGATTGTCTACTCGAAGTAAATACTGGCTTCGGTCGGACGAGGTGGCGACGGTGTCCTCCTTGATTCTCGAAGTGATCCTGCCTCGGCGGTGCGCCAGCCGCCGGGTCCTGCAGTGTCTGCAGGGCTTCCGTCTGTTGCTTGAGGTAAGCACATCCATTCCGAGCATGCCGCGTCCCCTCCTCGTCGGCGTTGTCGTGGTCCTGACTGCAACGGCACAGTATATCGCGCGAACGTGGCTGCGTGTTCGAGTCTGGGCTCCTGCACGTCCGCCCAGGCCTGTCTGCCCGAGAAAACCAACATGGCTCGTTGGCAGCTGCTCGGGCCCTGGGTGGCAGAACCAGGCGACTCGTTGCGGCGATGCTATGTGATGCGGCACTCATGTTTCGTGCTTGCATGATCTATCCGTGAGGGTCCTAGTGGCATGGCTGTCTTTCTGCGCGGGCCGCATTGGTCTTTCCTGAAACAGGCTTCAATAGGTCCCCTCGTCATTCCGACGAGTCCTGTGCCGTGAGGCTGCTCCACCTCACTCCTTGTTCCTGTCGTCATGCTCGTCCGTCCGGTCTCCTGCCCCGAGCGAAGGCTCTTCTTGGTCCACCATGCCGGATGTCAGCGGCAACGGGCTGGCTTCGGCTCGGAGCTCCGTCGGCACGTCTTCGCATGGCTTCGTGTCATGCGCTTGCTCCAAAGTTCTTTTCTGCGCCCCCGACCGACGCGCTTTGCCAGTTGGTCCGGTGCGAAACACCGCCCACGGCGATGTGGCTGGCAGCCGATAGTAGTCGATGCTTGGCTCGAGCTGCGTCACATCTTGCAAAGCCAGGGCGTACGTTTTCTTGTAGTTGGGCATTTCTCCCAAGTGCCTGTGCTGCGCTCTTGTGGCTTGGAAGTCTGCCTCCGTGATGATGCTGCAGTTGACGATGTTGGCTGCTCCGTGAATTTGGCCATTGCAGCCCAGCCAAGTTCTCCCCAACGCAGCCGGTGCGCCGCGGATCTCCAGAGTCTTTAAACGGTTCATGACGAGCTGCAACCAAGCTTCTTTCATGACCATGATTCTGTCTCCCTCCTCAGGCACAGGACCTTCGCGTCGAGAGCACATAGCACCGTTGCCTGGCAGGTCGCTGGTCCTCTCCTCTTCTTCGCGTACCTTGCATCCAAGTTGGTGTGTTGGACCCCGGTTCTCTGATGGGAGCCCTGGTTCCTTGGCACCGTCTCGTCTGAGTGTCTGCCTGCTCCTACACCAGAATCAGGCCGACCTAGCGTCTGCGGCGAGTCCTGACCGAGAGCGATCGATTATGTGTAGCCCGCTTACCCGCCTGGACCTCGCGCCCGTCGTCGGCTGGGCCCGATGGTGTGTCTCTTGGGCACGTGTCGGGAACCGTGGCTTCCGCGACCTCATCCTGGCGCCGAGGGTTTGAGCTTGTTGTTAACAGGAAACGTTCGTCTAAGATCCCCGTCCTGGTCCACGACAGTCGGCAACGGGATCTCCTCCGCGCTGTGTGCGGCTCTCTTGAATGCGTCGGCGAGGCTGTTGGCGGCGCTCGGAGAGGGGGTCGAGCCGTTGGCGGCATGCATGCTGTCGGCACCACGGCAGTTGGGCTGGAGGGCTGGGGTCCTGTTACCTTGGCTCGAGGTCTCGGGATGCTGCGCGTGCTGAGTATTCATTGGTCACGACTTCACCCTGCAACCCCTTTCGGGCAACGTCATGATCCACGCCGCCATGTTTTCTTTTTGCTGTCGGTCGCGGACTGGTCTCTCTTCCGTCTGCCGAAGGGCGGGCTCTGTGCAGTGCGCCGCGCCGCACGTTGCAAGGAAGGTCTGTACAGGGAGCCTGAGCGAGGATCTTCAGGAGCTCGTTTCTCCGAGCTCCACCGAGGGTAGGCTGCAAATCCAGGAGACCATCTCGTCGTTAGGGGCCTGGGTGGAGTCGATGAGGTACACGGGCACGTGGAGCAGGATCTGCTCGAAAACCGACTTCAGTTTGTCCCTGCTTTGCTCGTCGTTCTGCACTTCCAGAAAGCGCACGTAGTCGCGATTGCTGTCCGGCTGTGCTATGTGTCCACCGGAGATGTTGGCCGCATCGAAGAGTTCGCGGTACGGGTAAATGCCTCCGAAAATGCTGACTGTGTAGATGGCCTTCGCGTTGTCGTCTGCTTCGATGTCCATGTTCGTCTCCTCTGCCTGTCCCGAATCCTGGCTGTTGGTCGTCTTGACCGCAGACTGACGAAGCTCGACTTGGCACAAAACGTGGCGGCGTCCTCTTGGAGGCAGCGCTGCGAAGGCTTTCGGGCCGTGTAGCGGATAGTGACTCGACTTCCAGGGATGAGGCACCGTGTCCACCGCGCCGTCTGGACTTGCGATGTGTAGGGGGGGCAGTTGCAGCAAGTGTCCCTTGGTGACCTTGTGGCTCATCACCAGTTGGACGAAGTCCAATGCAGCTGAGACCGAAGTTGAGTACAGAACGACTTGCCAAGCTTCCAGCCCTGTCCCGTCCGGGTCCAGCGGACCATTCTGGGGCGGCGCCCCGTTCAGGAGTCGCACCTGGAGGATCGACTCCAGTTGTTGCAGATCCCGGACGTTGGGATTGGGATGTTTCTGCACCGCTTCTCTGGCAACTGCCAGCACCTGGTACCCGAAAGAATTCCGTCCGGTGTGACAGATCTGGAGCTGCCACAGGGGAGTGTCTCGATCCGCACCTTCGAACACGGTGAAGGCGCTCCCCCACCTTCTTACTACTGCCGTCAGCTCGTTGCCTTCTGCGTCGCCGGTGCCGTTGCTCCGGGACGGCGTGATGTCGATCGCGGAAAAGCGCCTTTTCTTCTGCAGCTGAATGTCCTGAGAGAGAGCCATGGCTGTTGGTATCGCACGGGGCTTCGCGGCTGCGGCTGGCTAGGGCTGGTGCCGTAGCACAGTTGATGATTTTAGCACTGCGGTCGGTTGCTTGCAGATAATTTGACATGCGTTTGTTGTGCGTGCATCCTCGCAGCTCGTCGGACTGTGGATTTCTTAGTCTTAGTCCACGCAACACGGCAGCGGCCGTGCACCAGCTTTTCTTCTAGCCGCTGTCGTCGCGCTGGTATGCGCTGCTTCAGATGGCTATGGCACGCCGGACTCGAATTGTCTCACAGTAGTAGTCGCCAAACTGCAGGATGATGTCGTGACCCTTCTTCTTGGGGTGCGTGCCGACGTAGGTGCCGTATTTACCTGCGCTGCGCTTGGGTGTGTGGGGGGGGATGGGAAGAGGATGTCGAACTCGTCGCTCATGGACATGCGCTGTTGGGGTGCAGCCAAGACTCCGTACAGATACAACTGGGTGTTTATGTACCCCGGTCCCATGATGTTGAATCGTGGCGTGATCCTGGTGAAGGAGCCGACGCGCTTGAGATACCAACCTCCATGGGCATTGGTGCTCGTGCCGTAGCGGGTCGTAAAGATACAGTAGGGCGATGCTCTCGCTTGCCTGGGCACCGAGTGCCACTGCTGTTTACGTCCTTCTATGTATTCGCATGTGGGTGTACAGGGATGTATACGCTACACTGGGCTGTGAGCGGGGTCCGTTTCAAAGCTACGATGCTGTTGTGCGGCCCTGGGGCTGCTCGTCGCTGACCGCAATGCAGAGACAGAGGGTCAGCCGTTCCCCGTGGCGCGCAATCCTTCCGCTTGGCCGGATGTGCTTGTACTCGTAGGTCCAGAACATCATTGTGATGGCGATCGTCATATCGGGTCTACGTGAACTGTCAGGGGCTTCTCTTGATCAGACGGCTCACGGGGTGTATCGGGACGATGGTTGGATTGAGACAGAAGGGCCTCAGAGTAGGTGAAACCCGGAGCTCTTGGGGGTCCAGAGAAAATGAAACCTGGAACTCTGGAAGGGGCTCAGAGCAGGTGAAACCTAGAGCTCTTGACAGAGTAGGTGAAGCCTGAAGCTGTTGAGGAGGCTCAAAGTAAGTGAAATCGGGGTGGGGATTCTTCGCTATCGGGCGGGGCTGCTAGCGGGCTGCCTAGAAGTAACACCTTGTGTGGGAGAAACAGTTCGGGCTCGAGTCGTGCGCAGCGCATCACGGTGCCTTTTGTCTGTATTTCACGGGCATCGTTCTGAGGTGAGCTCCATCTACTGTACAGGCGAGACGGTGCGCTTCAGCCTGCTGCTCGGAGACAGTGCTCCCTCTTGAGCTCATGCAGCGTGGCACGAAGTTGTCGGCAGGGCAGTGAACGCGCAGTCCTGGTGCATCAGGCCGGGTGTACTTGACTGCGGGCGAGCTGCTACAGCGTGTCTGCAATGTGCCGAGACTAACGGGTCCTCCGACCCTTTGAATCTTTGCTCCAGCTCCGCTCTCCTGTGCAGATGATTCGAAGTTGTGTGACAGCTATGACCTTCTCTGCTGCACGTGGATGCACATTCCTACTAAGCCCACCTTGCACGTGGTGGAATCAGGAGCTGGCCGATCGTGGGCGTTTCCTTCGCTCGGGTGCTAGCAGCGTTCTGTTCTCGGCATCGGACGACTCCATCGCGGCTGGTGGTAGACTGAATGGCGACGGTTCTCGAGGCCTTTGCCGTCGCATTGTTGAAGCAACGATGTCGTCCTTGAGTTGCCATAGTGCCGTGACGAGGTCTCCTCCCAGCTCTGGTTCGAGGTGCGAGGCCAGACACGTCAACCACTCGGTGTCTTCCTCGTTAAGCTGCATGTGCCGCGAAAGCTGCCTGATGCCAGTCGTGGTGTCCACCGGTATACGAGCCAACCTCAGCGGCTGCTCTATTCCGAAGCGGACCGCCACCTGGCGGGCCTCGTTGATGAAGCTCGCGACGACTTCCTGATACAGGTCGGGCTCGAGGTGTGCTGCCATCGCTGCGAAGGCAGCTTCCCGGAGCGAATGGGGGGCGTAGGTCCGGTCTGAGCAGGTTCGGCGAGACGGGTGAGAGTGGGACACATGTTCTCAGATGCCAGCACAGGTTTCAGCGCATGTGCGCATGCGTGGCGGCGCTCTCGTTTTTTGCGACAACGAGCATTTCACGTTTGGGTGATGCTTTCGGAACGCTTCCGCTTGGATTTGCCTCGGCGTGTTCTCGCCTCTGGCGGTAGACGGGCTAGGCTCATGCAATGTTCACGTCGAAGCCATACTAGAGATCCACGGGCCGCCCATGCTGGTATCTGCGCAGATACCGCTTCTCCTACTTTCTGAGACGTGCCCTGATGCCTGCCTCGAAGGGCTCTGGATGTACATGGACGTCTTGGAGTACCCAGCCGTAGGTCCGCCCGGCTTCGTAGTTTAATGCCTCCGGACAGGCACGGGTGTTCTGCGCATGGGGCAAAGCACGACCTGCCTGCAGGACATCAGCGTGGGTGCCCTGTTCCTCGATGGTGAGTAGACGAGATTGTGCGAGGACGGCGGTACCCCTGATGAGCTTGGTGCCTGTCTCCATCAAGCTGATCCTGCATGCACTAAGGGACGGCGGGAACGGCTTGCTCCGAAGTTCCATCGTCTTTGTACCTGCGAGCTGTCGTGTGAATACGGCTAGAGCCACTACATCGTGTGCGGCAACTTTCGAGTTGGCGCCTGAGAGTATTTGCTGCAACCACGATGGACGAATCTTCAGCGCATGCGTTGTCGCGTCGAAGGCCTGGCTAATCCGAGCTTCGTCGTCGCGCCAGCCTCAGATTCTTGTCTGTAGACTGTTGCACGTGGTCTACTGGAGGCATGCCGTAGGCTCGGAGCTGAGCAACCTGTCGTGCTTGTCGATGCAGTCTCGGCGAGTCGTTCCATCGCCTCGCGATAGCTGACACAAATGGTGCATCGATTGTCGGGGGCTCGTCACGATAAGATTCAGGTGCTGACAACCCGCTGATCGTGCTGCTTGTACCTATTGCTTCGGTGGCTGCTAATGTCAGCGCGTGCTGCGGCTGCTGTCTCCGTGGTGTGTGTTCGCTGAATATGCTACTCACAATCTTGCATCGATGTTGTTATCCTGGCGATTCTATTACGTCAGTTCTACGTGGCAGCAACATAGCTGCTTCAATAAAGCTTCTTGCAAGAGCCGGCCTACCCCAAGATGTCATGTAGTGATACCATACGGCTTGCTTCGGCGACAGGTAAATGTGGCGGTCCCCTTTCCCATTTTCGTCATTGCAGACTTTACCCGCAATATCAGATGCGGCTCAGGGTGAAACGCGGCCCGAGACCCCTATTGTGATAAAGCCGGATCAAGGCGGTTCTCTCCTGGTCAAGTAGCGGACGCAAAGGATCGTCCTGCAACGTGGTGCTGTCGGTGCAGGCTCTTGGGCTTCGTGGTTCGGTTTTCGTAGCTTCGTCTGGGATCCTGCTTCCCCTGCCTTCGAGACCCGCCGGTGGCCGATTGTGCAGAAGGTGTCCCGCGTCAACTGGAGCCTCGTTGTCCTCGACCACATCACCTGTGCAGGAGGGACACTCGTGGTCTATTCGGTTCGGCCAACAAACCTGACCTTGCCTTGACGTGCTCCACCGTGGCGTCGGCAGGAACGTCGAAGACCAGTGGCACGCAGAATTCGGACAATACCAGAACGCGGATACCTGGCAGGGGCCGTGCGTGGATGCGTACTTGAACGTATTGGATCGCCCTCGTGTCCCTGTGCAGTCAGCCTCCTCCTAGGGTCAAGATCGCCATCAGGAGGCAGGGCGGCCCTGACGTGGCAAAGCGCGTGATCTGTTTCTGCGGCACCTAACCTGCTCGGCTTGAGGAGCCAGCGAGACGGACCATAAACAGCATGATTCCAAGAGGTTCCTAGCCTGCGCGGACCACTAGCGATGACAAGGAGAACGAGGAGCCTCCTAGCCTGTTCGACTACTGTACAGGTGAAACGGAAGGCCTGGAGTCTGAGGCCTCTAACCCACGACACGGAAGGCCCGGAACCTGGAGTTTGTGGCCCGAAGCAGAAAGTGTGGAACCTGGAGTCTTTGGTCCATTCAAATGTTGAAGCGGAAGGTCGCCTGGGACTACTCAAACAACCTAACCTCGAAGTCCTCAGTACACGGGCCTACCATATGGCGAACTCCGGTTACCTGCGCTCATCGGGAAGCGATACGCGACGCTGTGCACTCTTTGTCTCGCATCCACTGGTACGCTGCTCGGCTGAAACTCGAACTACTGTATGGGTGAAACGGTTGGAATCTCCGACCCATTGTAGAGGCGAAACAGAAGCCTGCCACCTGTGGCTTCCGGCCCACTCTACAGGAGAAACGGAGGGCCCCGAACCTGAAGATTCGACGCCGCTGTAAAGATGACGGGGCTGGTTTGGAACCTGGAGTCTTTGGCTCACTGTAGAGGTGAAATGAAAAGTCTGGAGCCTGGAGCCTCTGGTCTACTGTACATGTGAAACGGAAACTTTTTCCGTGTGCTAAAGCAACGAATCCTCAAAGCTTTCAGTGCAAAGGCCCACTCAAAGCGAATTTGTTCAGCTACCTTTGTCAGAAAGCAACGCCGGCTGCCGCACGCTCTTTTGTCTTGCATCCACTGGCACGCTGCGAAGCTAAGACTTGGACTACTGTACAGGTGAAACGGAAGGCTTGGAGTCTGAGGTCTCTAACCCACGACACGAGAGGCCCGGAACCTGGAGTTTGTGGCCCGAAGCAGAAAGTGTGGAACCTGGAGCCTCTGGTCCATTGCAATGTTGAAGCGGAAGCTCCCTGGGTCTACTCAAACAACGTAACCTCGAAGCCCTCAGTACACGGGCCTACCATGCAGCGAACTCCGGTTATCTGCGCTGATCGGAAAGCGATACGCGACGCTGTGCATTTTTTTTTTTTTTTTCACTGGTACGCTGCTGAGCTGTAACTCGAACTACTGTATAGGTGAAACGGTGGGGCTTCGGACCCTGCAACTTGGAATCTCCGACTTATTGTAGAGGTGAAACAGAAGCCTGCTACCTGTGGCTTCCGGCCCACTCTACAGGAGAAACGGAAGGCCCCGAACCTGAAGATTCGACACCGCTGTAGAAATGACGCGGCTGGTTTGGAACCTGGCGTCCTTGGCTCACTGTAGAAGTGAAATGAAACGTCTGGAGCCTGGAGCCTCTGGTCTACTGTACACGCGAAACGGAAGACTCTTTCCGTGTGCCAAAGCAACGAATCCTGAAAGCTTTCAGTGCAAAGGTCCACGAAGAGCAAATCTGTTCGGCTATCTTTGTCAGAAAGCGACACCGGATGCTGCACGCTCTTTTGTCTCGCATCCACTGGCACGGACTACTGTACAGGTGAAACGGAAGGCTTGGAGTCTGAGGTCTCTAACCCACGGCACGGAAGGCCCGGAACCTGGAGTATGTGCCCCGAAGCAGAAAGTGTGGAACCTGGAGGCTCTGGTCCATTGCAATGTTGAAGCGGAAGCTCCCCTGGGTCTACTCAGACAACGTAACCTCGAAGTCCTCAGTACACGGGCCTACCATGTAGCGAACTCCGGCTATCTAGGCTCATCGGAAAGCGATACGCAACGCTGTGCACTTTTTGTCTCGCATCCACTGGTACGCTGCTGAGCTGAAACTCGAACTACTGCATAGGTGAAACGGTGGGGCTTCGGACCCTGCAACTTGGAATCTCCGACTTATTGTAGTGGTGAAACAGAAGCCTGCCACCTGTGGCTTCCGGCCCACTCTACAGGAGAAACGGAAGGCCCCGAACCTGAAGATTCGGCACCGCTGTAGAAATGACGCGGCTGGTTTGGAACCTGGCGTCTTTGGCTCACTGTAAAGG